TTCTTTCTTTCTTTTTTTTTTGTTTGTTTGTTTGTTTGTTTGTAGATTTTGTGTTTACTGAGACTTTATGTTTTCCTCTTTATTTTGATGAGTAGGTTTGTTAACTTTCTTTGTGGTTGCCTTAAAATTTACCCTTATCTTCCAAAATTTGAACCAGTCTTTTTTTACTTGATATCCCCTTGCCTTGCTCTCCATTTGAAAGTTCTATACCTACACCTTTTATTCCCTCTTTTGTTGTTCTGACATTGTTGTCTTTTACAGATTAACCTCTATGGTTCCCTGTTGTAAATCTTTTGGTTTTGATTAGTCCTTGAGAGTTCATTACCTAGGTTGGTGTCATGGTTTGCATTATGTCCCCCCAAAAATGTGTATATCAATTTGGCTGGGCCATGATTCCTGGAATTGTGTGGTTGGCCTCCATTTTGTGATTGTAATTTTATGTTAGAGAGGATTAGGGTGGGATTGTAACACTATTCTTACTCAGGTCACATCCCTGATCCAATGTAAAGGGAGTTTCCTTAGGGTGTGGCATGCATCACCTTTTAACTTACAAGAGATAAAAGGAAAGGGAAGCAAGCAGAGAATAGGGGGAACTCATACCACCAAGAAAGCAGTGACAGGAGCAGAGTGTGTCCTTTGGACCCAGGGACCCTGCGTGGAGAAGCTCCTAGTCCGGGGAACAGTGATGAAAAGGCAAACAGTCAGGAAAATCCTTCCCCTGGAGCTGACACCCTGAATTTGGACTTCTGGCCTACTATACTGTAACAGAATAAATTTCTCTTCGTTAAAACTGTCCACTTATGGTATTTCTGTTAGAGCAGCACAAAATGACTAAGACAGTTGGTATCTGGCTGATGCTGTTGTCTTGCATCCTAGGCTCAGGCTGTGGTCTGATATTGTTTGTTCTCAAACAAAAGGACACTCTTTTATAATTCTTTCATGTTTGGTTTCGATTTTACATATTCCTTTAATTTCTGTTTATCCGGAAATGTCCGAATTTCACCATCATATTTGAGTAAGAGTTATTCTTGGTTGGCAATTTTTTTCTGTCAAAGTTTTATCTATGTCATCCCATTGCCTTCTTGCTTGCATGGTTTATTCCAAGTAATCAGAGCATAGTCTTATTGTTTCCCCTGTGTATTAGACTTTTCATCTTTCTTGTGTTGCTCTCACGATTCTTTCTTTGCCTTTGGTTTTAGCTAGTGTGATTATGATATCCCCCGTTGATTTTCTTTTGGAGTCTATCCTATATAGGGTTCGTTGAGCTTATTGGATGTTCAGCTTTTCATCTTTCATGATATTAGGGAAGTTTTTTGTCAGCAAGTTTTCAATGATCCTCTTTGTGTTTTCTGTTTTTCCCCCTGTTCTGGAACTTTGATCACGTGGCAGTTTTTGCTTTTAATGGTATCCCACATCCTTCTCAGGGTGTCTTCATTTTTCTTCATTCTTTTCTCAGATTTTTCCTCAAACAAATTGATAGCCAAGGATTTGTCTTCAGTTTCACTGATCCTGTATTCCATTGTTTCAAACCTGCTCACCAGACCTTCTGTGACACTGTCCATTTCTGAAATTTTGTTGTTTGTTTTTGGATTTCTAATTGCTGTTTTTGTAAGATTTCTAGTTGTGAATTTATTTTGACATTTTGTTCCTGTATTATGTTCCTGAATTCTTCCATCTTTTGGTCTGCTTTTTCCATGATTTCTTCTATTTTTTTCCTCATTTTTGTCTACTTTTTCCTTCAACTCTTGGATAGCTCTGAATATTAGAGTTCTGAATTCCTTATCAGGTAGTTCCAGTGTCTTTTCTTCTGCTGAGATTGTCATCTGTTGTTTTATTTTGGACACCTCCTGGAGCCATCCTGTCCTGTTTTTTAATATGTTTTCGTATTGTCTACTGTCTTCGGGACATTCAGTATTTATTGTCTTTTTTATTGATTGTAGATTTGTTTGTTTCATCCTGTTTTTTTTGTTTTATTTGGGTATATCTGAGCAGGCAGGCTGTGTGTTCTTTGTTGTTTGTTCATCTTTGGGCACAATACTTCTCATCACCTTGTCCAATGTGTAAGGCCAGTTGCTCAGATATGGTGCAACAGGGCAGGTCCAGCAGAAGGGGAGGGGCTGGGCTGGGTTGTTTGTGGCACATACTGGGGCCAACAGGGCAGGGCTGTGTTTCAGTGCAGTGCAGGTTCCAGTAGACTGTCCTTGTGCTGCTAGGCGGTGTGATGTTCAGTGCATGGTTCAGATAGGCAGGAGGGAAGAGGGAGGTTGTGATGTGTGGAGCTAAGTTGGTGTGGAAGATGAAGAGGAGAGAGAAATAGGAACCAAAAAACAAAAAAGTGCTGAGGGAGCCTGCCGTAAGTGTGGCACAGACCTGGGGAAGCCATGTGCCAGTGGCTTTCTAGCCAGGCAGTGAGTCACAGCCCATCAAGAAGGGATAGATACAGCACACGCAGCTGGATGGGTGGGATAAAGAAAAGGAAGGAAGGGAAAGAGAGATAAGAAAGTAGATTTGAAAAAAAAGGAGAGATAAAGGCACACATGGCTAGGTGGTCAGGAAAAAAGTATGGAAGGAGTGTAGAAAGAGACAAGAAACCGAGAAAAAAAAAGATGCCAGGTGGTTGGTAGAAAGGAAAGGAAGGGAGGCAGAGAGAGACAGGAAACCTAGAAAAAAAGTAGAAAGAAAAAAAATTCCCCAAGGGAGCCCACCAGAAGCTGAGAGGCCCTGCACTGCCCATCCAGAAGTAGCAGAGATGGCACACGGTGCCAGGCATTCAGGAGAAGGGTAAGGACAGGAGATAGAGAGAGACAAGAAACTGAGAAAAAAGAAAGAAAAGAAAAATGCCCCAAGGGAGCCCACTGGAAGTAGGTCCCCAGCTGAGGGGTGCTGCACAGCCCATCAAGAAGAAGGAGAAATGGCACATGGCACCAGGTGTTCAGGAGAAGAGTAAGGAAGAAAGGTAGAGGGAGACAAGAATCAACAAAAGAAGAGAGAAAACAAGAAAAGATGCCCCGAGGGAGCCCACTTGTGTGGTGGCACAGATCGGAGAAGTGGCTCCCCAGGGTACAGCCCTGCAGAGCCTGTCTAGAAGGAGCAGAGATGGCACATGGTGCAAGGTGTTCAGGAGAAAAGAAGGGAAAGATGGCAGAGAGAGACAAAAAATTGAGAAAAGAAAAAAAATACCCAAGGGAGGCCACTGGCTTTGTGGCGTGAACCGGGGAAGTGGTTTCCAAGACACTAGACATTGCACAGCCTGTCTAGACGGGGTGGAGATGGCACACAGCACCAGGTATTTAGGAGACAGGAAAAGAAGGAAAGTAGAGAGAAGCAGGAAACCAAGAAATGAAGCAAAAGAAAAAGGAAAAAAGAAAAGAAAAAAATGCCTCTAGGGGTCCCACTGGCTTGGCGACATGAACTGGGGAAGCAGTATACCAGCCGAGTGGTGCTTCACAGCCTGCCAAGAGGAAGCAGAGATGGCACAAGGAGCTAGGTGTTCGAGAGAAAGGAAGGGAAGGAGGGGGGAGAGAGAGAAGAAACCAAAAGAAGCCAAAAAAAGTAACAACAGCAACAAGAAAATGGCACTAAAGGAGCCAGCTGGTGTGGGCAAGGTGAATCCAAGTGGCACTGAGCCAGTCCCTCACCAGCTGAGTGACCTCAGCCTGCTGGGAAGCGGTGGTGGTCGAGCAGGGGGAAGAAGGGTGGGGGGTGGGAAATAGTGTTTTGTTGGTTCCCGAGTGCCCTGCCTCCTGCTGGGAGCTCTGTGAAGCTGCCTTCCCTTACTCCCTTTCCACCAATCAGGGTGACTGAGTAGTCAAAGATGGCGAATCCATGCCACATTAGCTGATAGGGGACCTCCACTCTGTATCTCTTATCTCTTCTCTCTTTCTGTTCTCTGTCAATTTTTTATTCCATTCGGTGCTTGGTTGAGTTCTTTATCTCTTCATTTGATGCTTAGGGTTCCAGGATTGACGTTTGTCCCTGTTTTACTTTAGTTTTTCAGGACTTTACTGTGGAGGGACAGCATGGTGCTTCTCTCCATGGTGCCATGTTGGGTCCCACAATCATGTAAAAAATTTTTAATGGAAGAGTTAGTGTTAATTAAGGTGACATTTTCTCCTGTATTTTCTCTACAATTATTCCATAGCACATTGTGCATATGCTATTTATGTATCTTAAACATCAAAGTGTAATTATGTGCCTTTCCCTTACTTACTATAAAACCCTCATAGACCTTGTCTTACACATTGCTCTGTTCCAAGAACTAGCACAGAAAAAATTATCAAAAATGGGATACAAATAATCAATAAACTAGAAAAATAAACCCATATATGAGCTTAGCACTGGCCTCCCTCTCTTCCCTAAATCGCTACCAACCCTTCCCCCATTATACTGACCTTATATCAGTGTAGATTCCTGGTATGATTTGAACTGAAATAGAGTGTATGATGCTATAAATGAGTGATTACACCACAATCCACTTGTCGAAATTTAACTCAGGATAGTTTTCACTAACGTTTATAATCAAAACTCAGTATTAAACAAGAAAAACACGTGCATTCTATTCTTTGCAGGAAAAATCACAAAATAGTTGGCTTTTTTCAGTGCAGTAATTTACCTTTTGGGAAATTACTGCAGATCACCTGCAACTGTATCTTAATTTGTTTAGGAAGTTTTTGCAGATCAAAGTCCAATATTGACAACTGGGTGTTTCTGAGGACAAAGATTATTCACAGAGTGGATCTTTAAACAGATTTAACGGAAACAACTTAAAATATCTCTGCTAAATTATTACCTCTGAAAGGAGCTAGATGCTTGGTCCCAAACAACCTGAAGAAGCTGCTTCCACTGCTCTGCTTCAGTGATGACATTTGGCTCATTGAGGAGAAAGGAGTGTCAATATCAACACTAACCTAGTGTGACTTACTAAAAAGAGACATTTTCTCCCTTTGAACTTATCTACAGACTCATTTTGCATCTTCTCGGAGGTCACCTATTCAGCCTCAATGGGATTTCAGGACCTCCTGCATCAAGCTGGTGGCCAGGGGAGATTCCAGATTCTTCAGATGGTTTTCCTTCTTATCTCCAATGTCTTAGTGCAAATGCATATTCCTTTGGAGAACTTCACTGCTGCCATCCCTGGTCATCGCTGCTGGGTCCACATACTTGACAATGACACTATCTCTGATAATGGCACTGGGATCTTCAGCCATGATGCCCTCCTGAGAATCTCCATCCCATGGGACTCGAACCTGAAGCCAGAGAAGTGCCGTCGCTTCCTCCACCCCCAGTGGCAGCTCCTTCATTTGAATGAGTCTTCCCTCAACGCAAGTGAGCCAGACACAGAGCCCTGTGTGGACGGCTGGGTGTATGATAAAAGCACCTTCCCCTCAACCATTGTGACTAAGGTAAGAGGCACCATTTTCCTCCTTTGAGTACATGATCTGGGTGTTTAGAGATAACACAAGTAATGAACATGCTTCAAGCTCTCAGTCAGTATGAAAGTTTTATTCTTCATTCTTTCATCAAGTATCCATTGCTTATCTATTAAATGCCAAGCATGTGCAGATAACCAAACTAATGAATTAAAAAATAGTCATAAACTCTACTATCACAGTGCTTTTACTCCTGGGGAGGCCAATGTTTAAACAAATCATTTATATAACGTATGAGAAATGGTATGCTAGTTCAGTAATGCTTAACTGGTTTGCAAATTAGAAACATCAAGGGAGATCGACAAACCTCATGCTCAGACTGCACCTCAGGAGTTTTAAGAAATGCTCGGGGGTAAAAATCTGTCATCACTATGTTTTTAAAGCTCCTCTATTGATTTCACTGTGTAACCGAGATTGAGAACCATGTAGTACCGAGTACAAAATGAATATAAAGACAGAGAAATAATATAACCCCTCTGATTTAAGTGAGCCTTACTAGAGAAAGTTATGCTTAAGCTGAGAGGTGATTGATAAAGGTCAGTTAATGTAGTAAAACAAATCTGGATCGGAAGAAAGGGGCCTGATATACTGAGACTTGCAAGTCATGGTAAGGTGTTTGCGGCAGGTTTCCACTGAGGTATTCTAAGCTACTGTGAAGCTCTGCAGTGTTGGTTTCCTTGTCTTCCAGTGGGACCTGGTATGTGAATCTCAGTCACTGAAATCAGTGGCTCAATTCCTATTCATGTTTGGAATGCTGCTGGGCGGCCTTATATTTGGCCACCTCTCAGACAGGTGAGTGTCTCTGGATCACTGCTTTCTTTTCTCGGGGGTATTTTCATTGGCTTATGACTCAATCTTTCATTAAGAAATCTTTATTGCAAATTAGAGTGTTTTGTGGCTGGCTTTGTGTCCAGGGATCTAGTCACAGAAAGGGAGAATGACAGTAGTATGGAAAGTGCTGCTTTGTCAGCATTGAGCACTGTGTAGGAGAGGTCAGATAAAGGATGTTTCCAGCTGACCTGGAGGTGTTTCAGGACAGGGTTTAGAGAGGAGGTGCATGACATGTGGTTTATAAATGGACAGAGTTACCTATGAGAACAGAGAGGGAGAAGTTTCACGACAGGGGATTCAGCCTATTTGAAGACACAGATATGGAGAACAGCATTGTAGGCCGTGGTCAGACAGTCACGTTTAGTTGCTCCTGGACCTTGTTAGCTAAATGGCTAAATGCTTGTGGTCACCCACAGACTGCTTATCATGTGATAGTTGCCCAAGTCTGATGGGTAGGCATTTCTATAGAAACTCTGTGGGGTGTGTGGCAAGGTGTTATTGGTGGTGTATTAAAAAACTGTACTAGCAACCTTGATCTTTGTTCTTGCCAAAACATCTTTTTAAAGGTAAGTTTTTTGCATTTGTGGGTTTTTTTTTTTTTTTTTTTTTTTTGCAGAATGAACTATTTTATTAGTGGCATACATTTAAAATTACAAGTGACTCGACGTATATGGTCCATTCCATTTTCTGATACTATTAAAAAAAAAGTTGCTGTCAATTATGATTCATGACGACCCCAAGTTTTTCAGAGTAGAACTGTGCTCCATAGGTTTTTCTTTTTCTTTTTTAATTTAATTTTATTTTTTATTGTACTTCAGTTGAAGATTTACAGAACAAACTAGCTTCTCGTTAAACAGTTAGTACACATACTGTTTTATGACATTAGTTAACAACCCTGTGACATGTCAGTACTCTACCTTGAGTTCCCTATTACCAGCTTTCCTGTCCCCTCCTGCCTTCTAGTCCTTGCCCCTGGGCTGATGTGCCCCTTTAGTCTTGTTCTGTCGTATGAGCCTGTCTAATCTTTGGCTAAAACTTGAACCCCAGGAGTGACTTCATTACTGAGCTAAAAGGGTGCCTGGTGGTCATACTCTCAGGGTTTCTCCAGTCTCTGTCAGACCAGTAAGTCTGGTCTTAAAGGTAAGTTCTTTTGCCAGATAAGATAATTCATCAAAGGATAGTTCCCCCCATGGTTTGTAGTATGAGAAGTTTGGGGTATCCTGTGCCTAGCAGTACCTCTTCTGAAATAGACAGGCAACAATTGCCACCACCCAAGCATGTCTCCCATGATGGAAATGGGGGACTTGAGGTGCCTTTTACGTCCACCACCTTAATGTCAACTGTTTTCTCAGCTGAAAACTGTGAACTCTGACTGAATCACAGTAAATGCTATGTACACAAGATTTCAAGGTCAGAATATTTCTTTCAACCATTCCTGTAACCCAGTACTCTCTGATGGTGTCATGAGACAAAGTAGGTAGATAAGTTTTAATGGAGCATAATGTGGTAGAAATGGGGAGAAGGATCATTGGCAGAACAGGACAGTGGAGAATTACCTGAGGTTGAGAGGGATCTGATATGCTAATCTAAGGATTTTGAACTCCATCAGAAAACTAAGGGGAAACCCAAAAGGATTATGTGCAGAGGAAGTGCATGGTCAAAATGATATTTTTTAAATTGCACACTCAACTACTCATAATATCTCAAAACTGGAAACGTATAAAAGTCCATAAAAAATAGAATGGATAAATAAGATGCAGAATATTCACATAATGGAATACTACAGAGCAAAGGGAATGAACAAACAATAACATACAGTCATATAGATAAATATGATACCCTTATGTTGAGCAGGACAAGTCCAATGCAAATGTTGTTGCTGAGTTGTTGTTAGGTGCCAACAAGTCTTTCCGACTCATAGCAACCCCATGTACAACAAAACGAAATACTGCCCGTTCCTGTGCCATCCTCAAGATCGTTGTTATGCTTGAGCCCATTGTTGCAGCCACTGTGTCAGTCCATCTTGTTGAGTGTCTTCCTCTTTTTCAGTGACCCTCTACTTTCCCAAGCATGATGTCCTTCTCCAGGGACTGGTCCTTCCATATAATATGTCCAAAGTACATGAGAAGAAATCTCAGCATCCTCACTTCCAAGGAGCACTCTGGCTGTATTTCTTCCAAGACAGATTTGTTTGTTCTTCCAGCAGTCCATGGTATATTCAATATTCTTCACCAACACCATAATTCAAAGGCGTCAAGTCTTCTTCGGTCTTCCTTATTCATTGTCCACCTTTTGAGTGCGTATGAGGCAATTGAAAATACCATGGCTTGGGTCAGGTGCACCTTAGTCCTTAAAGTGACATCTCTGCCTATTAACATTTTAAAGAGGTCTTTTCCAGCACATTTGCCCAATGCAATGTGTCCTTTGATTTCTTGACTGTTGCTTCCATGGAAGTTGATTGTGGATCCAAGTCAAATGAAAACCTTGACAACGTCAATCTTTCTCTGTTTATCATGTTATTGCTTATTGGTCCAGTTGTGAGGATTTTTGTTTTCTTTATGTTGGGATGTAATCCATACTAAAGGCTGTAGTATTTGATCTTCATCAGTAAGTGCTTCAAATCCTCTTCACTTTCAGCAGGCAAGATTGTGCCATCTGCATAACGCAGGTTATTAATGAGTCTTCCTCCAATCCTGATGACCCTTTCTTCTTAAATAATCCATCTTCTCGGATTATTTGCTCAGCATGAAGATTGAATAAGTATGGTGAAAGGATACAACCCTGACGCACATGTTTCTTGACTTTAAACCACGCCGTATCCCCTTGTTCTGTTCAAACAACTGCCCCTTTGTCTATGTACTGATTCCTCATGAGTGCAATTAAGTGTTCTGGAATTCCCATTCTTCAAAATGTTATCCATAATTTTTTATGATCCACACAGTCGAATACTTTTGCATAATCAATAAAACACAGATAAACGTCTTTCTGGTATTCTCTGCTTTCAGCCAGGGTCCGTCTAACATCAATACAAATTATCATATGCTATATAATTCCCGTTACGTAAAGGCCAAAAACAGGCAAACTATAGTGTTGGAAGTAAGGGGATGGATTCTCTTGAGAATATTTACTGAGATTGCACTGAATGTGTAGATCAGTTTGGGTAAAAATGCCATTTTCAGAAATTGGATTTTCTGATCTATGAACATGGTGTGCCATTCCACTAATTTAGGTTTTCTTTCATTTCCCTTTTTATGCTTTGTAACTTATACGAAAAGTAATGTATTTTTTACATTAAATTTATTCTTAATTTGGTTTTGATGCTATAGAATCATTTTTTAGAAATTTAATTTCTAATTACTTATGGGTAGTATATAGACATGCAATTGACTTGTGTATATTGACATTGCATCTTGCTACCTTGATCAATTCATCTATTATCATGTCATCTGCAAGCAGAGACAATTTTACTTATTACTTTCCCATCTTTTGCCCTTTATTCTTTTTCTGACTGTAGCTAAAACCTTCAGTACAACTGTAAATGAAAGGAGTGAGAGCTGATGTACTTGCCTTGTTTCTGACTTTATGTAGAATGCATTGAGTCTTTCACTATTTAGTATATTTTTTGTAGGATTATGGTTGTTGTTAAAGTAATTGTTTATCAGTCTCTTTTACCCATCATCAGTAACAACAACCCCTTTCACATTCCTACCCTACATTAAACAAATTCCTTCCTTTGAGAACTTTCTATAGGTTCCTCTCTCTGGTTGTGGCTCTCTTATATCATATTTTAGAAGAAGCAGATTGCCCAAATTCTAGAAACACAGACACAGCAGAGGTGTATTATACAACCCATTGGTCACTTTGAAGTATTGCTCCATGGATGTTCCTTTCACATGAATTAGCCTTGGCCTGCATGATCCTAGAGACCCAAGTATAGATTTTGCTTCCTTGCGTTCTAGAAACTATACACACTCTCTATTTTGTAAATGCAAGTGTTAGAACAGGGACATTTACAACATGTTAAAATTTTCAGTATTGCAGCCTGGTTTCACTTCGTGTCAAAGACCTACTGGTAACAGATTGAAGAACAGATTTATCTACTCAATATCCAAATACAAACAGGCAGTGTTGCTTCTAAGAATATATATGGTCAATTTCCCTATTGATTCTTCAAGTCTCAAGGGCAAAGTTTGACTTGTTAAAACATCCTCTAAATTTCCAAGTGTGCTTTCTTTTTGGTATTTTTTCCAACGTTATTAATGTTCCCATAATCTAACCTCTCTGTTTCTCAGGTTTGGGAGGAGGTTGATTCTCAGATGGTGTTTCCTCCAGGCGGCCATTGCTGACACATGCGTGGTCTTTGCTCCCTCCTTCCTTGTTTACTGCTCACTGCGCTTCTTGGCTGGGTTTTCTACCGTGGCCCTCCTGTCAAATTGTGTTGCACTCAGTAAGTCAATCTTTTTCAATTTTCTGTATTTTCTAAGTCTTGGCTTTGACCTAGAAATTCCACTTTTCTTTTAAGTTAAAATCTTGTTTCTCTTTCATTTCAGTAATAGAATGGTCAGTGCTCAGATTCCAAGCCATGGGGATGACGCTGGTAACCTGTTCCCATAGTATTGGACATATAATCCTGGGAGGCCTGGCTTTTGCCTTTCGAGAGTGGCACACACTCCAGCTGGTGGTGTCTGTACCATTTTTTGTCCTCTTTCTGTCCTCAGGGTATGAGCTTTTTCTCTTCCTTTGTCTTAGAGTATCCTGGGATGAAATATGCATAGAATTAGGACACATGGTTTCTGTTTGGTCTTTGGTCACAACTTGAGCACATGATCTCCTAATCTGTCCCCTCTGTGCAATTTGAGGGCAGAACAGTAAGGTTGGCAGGTAATATTGAGGACATTCAATTAAATTTGAGTTTTGTGTAAACAAAACATTTTTTGTATAATTACATCTCAAACATTGCATAAGACATAGTAATACTAGCAATTATACTAGCAATTTGTTTATGTGAAAATTCTACTTAACTAAGAGTTATTTTTATTTGCTAACTGGTGAAATACAGGATGTCCCATAAAATATGAATTTCAATGAAAAGTAAATAATTTTTAGTGAAAATATGTCTGAAGTATTGAACAAAACATAGTGATGGTAAAAATCATTCATTGTTTGCACGAAAATTCTGTTTAACTAGTTCTCTATGTTTGCAAACTTGATAAAATACTGCATATTTCATTAAATTTGAATTTCACTAAACAACAACTAATTTTTCAATGAAAGTGTATCTGAAATTCTGCATGGGACATAGTTATACTAAGAAATTATTCACTGTTAATTTGAAATTCAGTTTAACTGGACACATGGTGTTGTTAATTCTGACAACTGGCTACATAAGAACAGGAAGTAGCATGGAATCCCTTGCCTGAGAATCCTGCATCTCTCTAGGCCTTCTTACAATTAAGTTTTAACAGGTGTTGTGGACACATAATGATATAGAATTATTGTCTTTAATAAAAAAAAGTATACAACCACATATTTTAAGAGGAGATAGCCTTGGTTATTACGTGTGTTTGTATGTGTAACTTTGGAAAGAATCATGTAATGAAGACGTTTCAGTGCTTTTCAATTTTATAGGTACTATTGGATAAGATAAAGAGCCCTGGTGGCACAGTGGTTAAAGTGATCGACTGTGAACCAAGAGGTCGGCAGCTCAAAACCACCAGTACATCCGAGGAGGAAAGATGTGGCAGTCTGCTTCCATAAAGATTTACAGCCTCGGAAACCCTATGAGGGCGCTATGAGTCAGAACTGACTCCACAGCAGTGGGTTTTTGGTTTATTGGATGAGATGAAGGGGCAACAAATTTGCCTCTATAGCTATCAGAAGAAAGCACAGCATGGTTTCTCCACTTCTAACCACTGAAGGCAGATCAGATGGTTTATGTCACTTTTCTGTGCTCCTCTTCCCTTTGATATCTTTAATAAGCATTAAGGGTGGCTAACTATGCCCGTTCAAAAGCCTGGTTCAGTGAAGGAAGCCTATCTACTTACAAATGACTCTACCTCAGAGAAATGATTACAGATTTAAAACAAGGAGATGATTTTAAAAAGAGAGGAGTGTTTACTCCATGTCAGGCTCATCCATAATCTCATTTCATACTCGTAAGAACCCTACAAGGTAGGTGGCACTACTGTCTTAATTCCATAAGTGAGAAAACTGAGGCAGATTTAGGTAACTACCTTACTTGTATAGCAAGTTTTCATCATAGCTGCTAAGAGCAGAAGTGAGTCCAGTCTTTGTGAGACTGTAAGTGTACATAAATACCTTGACGGTCCGTCTTTCATAAAATGACCATACATTATAAATATATATTTGCTTGGCCCCTATAAAGACCTTGGAAAGGGTCTATACACAGGAGGGGAAGTCAAGCTTTAGCTTCATGAGCTTCTTGGTAAATTTGCACCTGAGTAAAAGAACAGACGTTTTAACTCCAAGTCTGCATTCCCTGCATGAAGATGTACTGCATGAGAGTCATTCTCATATGTCCCTAGTTATGGTACAAGAGAAGGTAGGTTATATTCCCTGGTATATCTGAAAAAGTGGTGGGTAGTAGATGGACAGATGTTATATGAAAAATAAGCAACTGAGAGTGATTGCACCTGTGTCCTCCTCTTTGATCAGGTGGCTAGCAGAGTCTGCTCGATGGCTGATTGTCAACAATAAACCAGATAAGGGCTTAAAGGAACTTAGAAAAGCTGCACACACGAATGGAATAAAGAATGCTGGAGAAACTCTGACCATGGAGGTGAGATAGAAAGGGAAGCTGATGAGGGGGGATAGGGAAGACATGCCTGACCTCTACACTTGTTGCTGCCCATAAAGGGAATACAGGGTAGAATGCAGGTGTGATTATGGGTCTTCCTCCCTCACTGCCCTACTTCTCAATGGGTGTCAACATTGTTTGGGCTGGCATTGAAGGAGAATACGTTGACAAGGATTGAAGGCAGATATTTTGACTCAACAGAAGCAAAAAGCACTAAGTATTTACAAATGGAGAGACTATGTACTGGTCTCCATAGCTGTGTAAATTTTAGTGACCAAAACTAATCCATTCCTTTCCAATTAATAGTCTGTGGGTCTTAATTCAGGGTAGTAAGGCTGGTAAAAGGAAGGGTTAGTAACCGTACAGAAGAGAGCATAATAGAGATTCACTTATTTCTTCATTCACTCATGTATTCTTTTATTCAAGATATATGTAATAAGTGCCTACCATGTGCCAGGTCTGTTCTAATCCAAGAAATATAACAGTGACCACAGCAGCTACAAATTCCTATTTGTAGAGTTTATATTCTACATGTTAGACATTCCAAAAGCATGACTGAGTGAAAGAAATATTTCAGAGAAGGCTTTCTCTTCTTTGTTCTTCACCCCAGATATAAGAGGAAGTGTTGCTATGGTTCATTAAGTAAATAATCATCATGTCATGCACATATAGTGATATTTGTTGAACAACAATAGTGTACCAGGCAGGGGTCTAGACCATGAATAACAGAATAAGTCAGGGTCCCAACCTTCAAGGCGCTTTCACATTAATATGAGAGGGAAAAATAATAGATAATTTTAAATTCAAATAGAGTTAATGATAAGAGAATGGAAAGAATTATAAATGAGCACAAGAAGACATATCTACCCACAATTCCTTGAGAAAGAAGACAAGGAATTAGCGAGTCAAAGAAGAGGAAATAAAACATTTCTTGTAACATGTTCAATGGCACACATGATAAAAGATTATATACTCCCAGAAGAAAGCGGAGGTCATTTAGAAGAATATTTCAATGAAGAAGAACCAAAATGTTCCTGAGAGTTTAGACCCCAAGGGAGATGGGAAGAATTCAAGGTTTCCCCAGAGATGAAGCCATTGCAGAGACAATGGCACTGAGGGTACTGATTTGATCAGGACACCACTGGCATGGCCTTTTACAAAACGAATTTTAAGTTTAGGTGGAGCTATATAGCAGTCTTAGGCTGCATTCTTATATGCATAATGAATATAAAATCCTACTGGACCAACTATGTTTCAGGAACTATCTTTCATTCCAAATCCACATCTAGTCTTTTGCCTACCAGACTGATCTAATCCACAAAATGAAAGTTGAAATTCCTCCAGGGTACAAGCAGATAGTAAAAACAAGTGAAATAATCTAGATACTAGGAAAGAATAATGCATTATCACAATCGAAAACCACATCAGCATCAGGTGGAAGAAACAGAGCACTGCAAATGAGGAGCAGTTGAAGCCTGGGTTAGCCTATGGATCCTATGCAAGAATGAGTACCTGTTATGGATTGAATTGGGTCTGCCAAAAACGATGCGTTGTAATTCCTAACCTGTATGCGATAGGGTCACTATGAGTCGGAATTGACTCAACAGCAATGGGTTTATGCCCATGGTTATAATTCCATTTGGGAATGGGTTGTCTTTGTTATGTTAATGAAACAGGACTAATGTAGGGTGTATCTTGAGTCAATCTCTTCTGAGATATGAAAGAGATTAAACAAGCAAGCTAGCTAGCAGAGATGGAGAGGAGAGATAACAAGTCACATGAAGACTGCCTAGGAGCAGACCTCCGAAGAGACAAGGACCTTCCTCCACAGCCGACAGAAAGAGAAATGTTTCCCCTAGAGCCAGCACCCTGAATTTGAACTGTGAGAAACTAAATTTCTGTTTGGTAAGGCCACCCACTTGTGGTATTTCTGTGATAACAGCACTAGATAACTAATACAGTACTCATTGATGCCATATTTGATTTTTTTAAGATAATTAAAAAATGGGTGGTATGGCAAAAATAACTGCAGTCATGCATCACTTAATGTCCATGATATGTTCTCGGACATAGGATGTTATGTGATTTGGATTACAAATTCATTACATGACTATTGGTGACAGATTCTGTGACAGTGGGGTAAAAACATCCACAGCTTCTGTCTTCAGGAACGTCATATTAAGACAAGTAAATGGGCTAGATAAAGTGTCTCAGAAGTAAAGCAAGGGTGGAATGGGAACACCAAGGAGGGAGCTCTAGCCTAGTTTGCAGGGGTGGAGGCATCAAATGCTTTTTGGAGATGGTGCCATTATTGTTAGTTGTTGTCAAGTCATGTAAAACAAAACAAAACATTCTGAGGCATCTTCATGATCACTGGCATGTTTGAGTCCATTGTTGCAGCCAGTTGTTGTGTCTTCCAATCTGGGGGGCTCATGCATCTTCCAGCACTATATCAGACAATATTCTGTTGTCATCCATAGGATTTTCATTGGCTAATTTTCAGATAGATCACTGGGCCTTTCTCCCTAGAACATCTTAGTCTGCAAGCTCCACTGAAACCTGTCCAACATGGGTTACCTTGCTGACATTTGAAATACTAGGGCATAGCTTCCAGCATCATGGCAACAGATAAGTCACCAAAGTACAACAAACTGAGAAGCAGGTGGTAGTCTTGGAGGTACCAATATCTAAAATAACTCTTAGAAGATAAGGTGCAAATAGCCAGATTTACGCAGGACAGTCTGTTGGTACATAGATCAAAAGACCTATTTAAAGTGTTGAAAATCAAAAATCTCATCTTGGAGACTAAGGTGCACCTCACCCAAGGCATGCTGTTTTCAATCGCCTCCAATGCATGCGAAAGCTGGACAATGTATGTTCCTTAGAAGCAAGGATGGCAAGACCACATCTCACATACTTCGGACGTGTTATCAGGAGAGATCAGTCCCTGGAGAAAGACATCATGCTTGGTAATATGGAGGGTCATTGAAAGAGAGGTAGACCCTCAAGGAGATGGATTGACACAGTGCTTGCAACAATGGGCTCAAGCAAACAACGATTGTGAGGATGGTGAAGGACCAGGCAGTGTTTGATCTGTTGTACATAGGGTTGCTATGAGTTGGAACCGACTGATGGCACCTTATTCATTGTCCAGCTTTCACACACATATGAGGCAATTAAAAACATTATGGCTTGGGTCAGGCACACCTCAATCTTAAGGTGACACCTTTGCTTTTTAACACCTTAAAGAGGTCTTTTGCATCAGATTTGCCCAATGCAATGCGTAGTTTGATTTCTTGACTGCTGCTTCCATGGATGTTGATTGTGGATCCAAGTAAAATGAAATCCTTGACAACTTCAATCTCCTTTTATCATGATAACCTCCGTTTATCATGATGTTGCTTATTGGTCCAGTTGTGTGGATTTTTGTTTTCTTTATGTTGAGGTGTGATCCATACTGAAGGCTGTGGTCTTTAATCTTCATCAGTAAGTGCTTCATCCGTAAGAGTCAGATGGATCCTGGCTGAAAGCAGAGAATACCAGAAAGATGTTTACCCGTGTTTTATTGACTATGGAGAAGCATTTGACTGTGTGGATCATAACAAATTATGGATAAGATTTCAAAGAATGGGAATTCCAGAATACTTCATTGTGCTCATCAGGAATCTGTACATAGATCAAGAGGCAGCTGTTTGAACAGAACAAGGGGATACTGCGTGGTTTAAAGACAGGGAAAGTGTGTGTCAAGGTTGTATCCTTTCTCCATTCTTATTCAATCTGTATGCTGAGCAAATAATTTGAGAAGCTGGACTATATGAAGAAGAGCGCGTTATCAGGATTTTTAACAACCTGCGTTATGCAGATGGCACAACCTTGCTTGCTGAAAGTGAAGAGCACTTGAAGCAGTTTCTAACAAATAGGATGTGAAAATTAAGGAGAAAGATTCATAAAACAGGTGAAGCTCCAGCATGCTCCCAGTAGATATAGGCTTCCTGTACCCTAGTTTCCAGAAGTAGATATAGCTCTATATGTTAGCATCTGTGCTGAGTAAGGATTCCACCAGATAGGTGAAGCTCCATACATGCCTGTAAATGACCTAATAGCCCCTTCCTAAATACTGGAAACTCAGATCACATCTCTGTGTGCTCACCAGGAACGAATGACCAATAAAAAACAATCCCAGCACATCCATAACTTTTACTCTGACGCTGGATAGAATTGAAGGCCAGTCTCACAGCCATTGTGTCCCTCATCTGGCCTGTGCTGGAACCCCTTCTTACCACACCACCCATGACAATGGTCTGTGGCCATAGGTTTCAGGTGTCGGAATCAGGAAGGAGACGCTGCCATGACTCTTCTCTTCCATAAACCAAATATTCTGCTGCTCAGCTGGAGCTGCAAACTGAAAGGGCACACTTGATTTTGTAAGATTTGTCAGTTAGAGTGGCGTTTCATCCATCTGAATTCTCTTCATCACTGAAATTTCCAAATGGATTTTTACATATTATTGATTTATGTAGGTGGGAAGAGAATGGAGCTATTATTATTTGAATACTTAATAAGTACCGGAACTGTGCTACATAGAATTCCATATGCACATTTTTTAATCTCATGTATAGCCTACGAAACCTTCTGAGACCAGCGGTTTCTTTTTCCTCATCCTCACATGCCTCTCCCTCTCTTTCTTCTAATACTCCTCCTCTCTTTCCCTGTCCTCTTTATACTCATCCTCCTCTTCCTTCTTCTTTTCCTCTCCTTCTTCTACATGACAAGAAGTTAAGGCTCAGAGATATTCAGTTCTGTTCCTCTTGAAAACAGCTAACAAGTGACAGAGCCATAGTATACCACCAGGTTGTAATCAGGACTGGGTATAAATCATACTACACCAAGATCTCACTACTGTTGCCCTCAGATTTCATTCTAGGTATCTCATTCATGTAGACACATATTTCACGATTTGTCTAAAAGAGGCTGAGCCAAGAACCAAAACAAAGGCTCTCAAGAAATTTTCCTCCTTCCTGAGACAAATTGCTTTGCTACCAAGGAAGGATAACCAGCTGAGAACCAAGCTCAGTTCCAAACATTTCATGCCCTGCTGGTATAATTCAACTGACTCATCATTTGATTTCACTTCCTGAACTGAATCTCTAACCTGTGCACCCTTATTGATGCCCTGCAGCCTTCTCTAATCCCTATGTAAAATGTCCTTGTCACTGCATAATTTCCCTGAGGCTGCTTTAACTCCCTAATTTAATGATCATACCACTTTCCCACCTGTAAATACAAGTTTCCTGTCTACATTTTCCACTACAGAAAGGGAACTTGTCTCTTTTGTCCTCAGTTGGGTGCTCAGTGGTCCTCCCAAAGCCTAACACTTTGACGGCAACTGATAAAGGTTTGTTGTTGCTGTTGTTGCAGGTTTTGAGATCCACCATGCAGAAGGAGCTGGAGGCAGCACAGAACAATCCTTCTGTGTATGACTTGTTCCACACACCCACCCTGCGTAAATGGATCTGCCTCACAGCTTTTGTGAGGTAGGCTTCACACAGAGAATGAGGAACATTAAAATAGTGAACCTATTTCTTATTTCAAAGGATACAACAGTGTTGTGGGGGACAGACTTGGCGATAAATGATGAGGAAACCATACAAAATAATTGCTATGTCTGGAGTTAGTCAAAGGGTTATGAAAAGACTCAGAGGAGATAATTATACAATGAGAAGTTAAGTATGTCACATCACCCTACAAGGTTCACTCATTCCAGGAGACTGATGGAGAGAATGTCAATCATGGTCCAGACCTTGGCTTTTAAGTTTCTTCATCGCTTCATTCAATTTTAATTGAGGTTAAACTTAAAAAGAGTAAAGTGTATTCAAAAATATACAGTTCAATGAATATTTCCATATGTAAATATGTAACCAAAAGCCAGGTCAAGTGATAGAAACACTCTAGTTCCTAGGACGTCCCATCATGTATCCTTCACAACATACTCCCCACACTCCAAAAAGAAATTTCACAATTCTGATCTTCATTATCATACAATTTTTATGACAATTTAAAATCATTACTAAGAAAGAAAATAGTTTACAAAACAACTGTGCCTTAACACTTACCACCAGCCACTGGTAGACTGGGCCATGGTCATGGTCAATTGCAGAACATAGGCTCTAAATCTTATGACGTGACTTTCCTCTTTTGTTCACCACAGATTTGCAATCAGTATGCTCCATTTTGGCCTGTTGCTCAACATCCAGCACCTGGGGAGCAATGTTTTCCTCTTCCAAGTTCTTTTTGGCATCATCTCCCTCCCAGGCAGTTGTCTGGCACTTTTGGCAATGAATCATATCGGCCGTGCAGGAAGCCAGACCATTTTCATGTTCCTGTCGGGTATTTCTATTCTGCTCCTCACATTTGTGCCTCAAGGTGAGAAAAGATCAAGGTCAGAGAAAGGAAGTGGCTTCCCCCCATTGCTCTGGGATTGTACTGTCATACCTGCCTAAGTAGGAGGAAAGGAGGCTAAGGAGCCCCTGTAACCAGCCTGCAGGTTTAGGACAGATTCTGCCATTAACTTGCTAGGAATGGAGTCAAAGGTCAACAAGTGTCAGCCCAGACATACAGTTGTCTTCACCATCATTGAGAAATATCTGGAAAATAATGACATTTTCTCCAGAACCACAATTGATCACTTGCCTTTTGTCCAATCACACATTTAATAGCAGTCATTGAGGGCATTGAGGGACTAGGCCTTGAAACTGTATCCCAGTATGGGGAGACAGTAATGTCACTTCCCCTTCTGGGCTCTCATTACGATAGCTTCAGTGACAATTTACTCCCTGATCTCTATGTGTCCACTCATGTGTCTGGTATTAGGTCACCATGACTACAAACCTGGATTAGCGGAGGCTTTTTGGCTTTAAGGAAATAAAAATCCTTTGTCTCAAGTGAAGAAAAATTATACAGTGGGCGTAAGAGGTTAAACATATTAAGATCTTCTCTTAGAATTTTAATTTTAATAAATGAAATGATCATATGTAATGATTAAGGGGCCTACGTGCTCATGATGCTTCACATATTTCCCAGCTGAGTAATGTATTTTACAGGACCAGATGGTGGCTCCAATTCTATTGAATGTCAGCAGTGATGCAAGTTGGCTGCCTTACAAGATACCTCAATCCAGTGTTGTAAAGCACTCATCATACTTTTTTAAAAAATAGTTACAAAACTTACTGTCTTAAACTTCCGTTCTATGGTTCACAACGTCTTTTATTCCCCCAGAGAGTTCCTTGTTATTGATTGCCGAATCATTATTTTAAATCAAGATACTCTTCATCCTGTCCATCAGCATTAAAGTCTTCTCCTTTTATTACTCTCTTGTGCCATACTTGTCCCTGGTCAAGTGTAACTTCACTTAAGTTTTCAACTCCTCAAGGACAGGGATGGAGTCTTAGACTGCTCAGAATTTGCCCACATGACAGTCCTATGTTCTACAGTAGGAGTATATGAAACACTAGGCAAAATAATGGAAAGAAACTCCTCCCAGACTCACTCTCCCCTCTCATCCTTGAATATACAGGGAGAGTTGGAACAATTATTCAGGTCTTTTTATTCACTATTTGTCTTCATCAAGGTTCTCCAGAAATATAGAACCAGTGAGATAGATGTATATATAAAGAGAGACTTACATCAAGGCATTGGCTCATGGGATTGTGGGAACAGCAAGTCCAAAATCCATAGGTCTGGTAACAGTCTGGAGCCTCTTCTTGGCTCACCAGATTAGAGGAGACTGGCAAGTTCAATATCTGAAGGTCAAGTGACAGGCTGCAGACTTCTGCAAACTCACATCCCAAGACTCATAGATCAGGCAATGAGAACACTGCAGAGTCAAGACAGAGAGTGAGTTTTTCCAGATTAACTCTGGAAAAATAGGCAGACCATCTGGAAGGTGATGACATTACATGGCTTTAGATAACATTATGGAACAGCAAGTAGTCCAGTGTTTGGCTAAGCCACTGGGAACCATAGCCTAGCCAAGTTGCTAAGTACAATTAACCATCACACTATTTAAAATGTAACAAGTAGACAAGTGATGTTTCTTAGCTCACCAGCCACTCCATATATTCTGCTTCTGTGCAGTTTCTATACAATGTATTTTATGCTTGCAAACACCTCTGATAGGGGCATTTTCACTTGTATTTTGGGATGATTGTTTCAGCTCAGATTTCCTGATCTCACTTGTCTTCCTCTCTCTAGAAATGCAGACCCTGAATGCGATTTTGGCAACTTTGGGAATGGGCACTTCTTCTACCTCTGTCACCTGTTCTATTGCCCACACCAACGAACTTTTCCCCACAGTATTCAGGTACAAAATGCTCTGTCAGAGTCAAAACAGAACTTTCCCAGCTATTTGGCCCTTTTGGAGGAAAGAAAACTGAGACTGGTTCATTATCAAAAGCAGACCATTTTTATAGTAATAATAACAACAAATTATAGCCAAAATTTATTGAACATTGACTTTTTGCCAGGCACCATGTTAAGCACTTGAATGCATCATCTCACCTAATCTTCTGAACCATTCAAAGGGTAGGTGCTATGGGCATCATTATTTTTAAATGATTAAATTGTGTCTTAATACACTTAGGAACTTAAAGCTAATAGCCAGCAAACAGGACAGCACATTTCAGAAGCAAGGGCGTGCAGCCAATCTCCATGTGTGCAAACACTCTGCTGTAGTGGCCTCATAATGAAAGCCAAACAATATATCAAAATTTCATGTGTGGATTTTACCAGATCTGTTTGTGTTCTTATTTACACCTCAAGGGCAAGAATTTCAGGAATCCTTGTAATAACCACTTGTGTTGCGGCAGCCCTAGCTCCCCTCTTGATGACCCTAGCAGTGTTTTCTACCCACCTACCCTGGATCATCTATGGAGTCTTCTCCATCCTGGCTGGCTTTGTTGTCCTTCTCCTGCCTGAAACTAGAAATCAGCCTCTGCCTGACACCATCCAGGATGTGGAAAATAAGTGAGTAAAACCTCTGCTCTTCCCTGGGGGCTCTATGTGTTATTGGTCTGTGACGGGGAAGGCAAACACCATTGGGGGCACTCTCTCCCTAGGCAACCTCAGCCTTTGCTATTTCCATTTGTGACAGTGCCTTGAGTTCAGTGGCAACCCCATCCACAGCGACATCAGACTCCACCTGAGAATCTCTAGGTCTCACAGACCAGCTGTACCAGTAGGTTCAGTGGTGAAGAGACCACAATTAGGTCTCCTCCGCCCTCCCTTCCCTAGTGTGAGACAGACACTCCTGATGGTTTTTCACAAATATGCACAGACCCAAACACCAGATTCTAATCCCCCAACCTTGATGCCCCCCCAGCAGAGTGAGTGCCCACAAGCTAGCTATGACTACCCTTAGCTGTAGACCGGATGAGTGCCCTGGACTTTGAAGAAATGGGGGAAGATCACACTGAGGACAAGAGTGTTCTGCAAATTACAGTATATCCAAAAGGAAGGAGTACTGTTATGTTGCCTGTGAGATTCAGTTAGTCCGGTTTCACTGGGAAAGAAAATGTTAAGAAAAAAGAATAAATAAAGGACATGGTAAGGAAAGGGGATTTCAAAATGATACACAATGGGAAAAGATTCTAAAATTTTTCTGGGCTTCCCTTACTTTTTTCACAGACTCCTTTGGCCAATGCCATGGCAACCAAAGGTGAGAATAGCAACTGGGGAAGCTACCTACCCAAATCCTGCCTTAGTAATTTGGTGTTTTACTTCACAAGATTTACTTGAATTCTCATGTAGAGGTCATAGTTTTTACCAGAGCTGGTGGGCAGAGGATAAGCTAGCTTAAAGAATGCAGGACATATATGTTTATTCCATGTCTTTTCTTTTATGTGTTTGTTTGTTGGTTTTATTTGTCCCAGGAGAAAAGGCTTAAGAAAATCAAAGCAAGAAGATACCTGCATGAAAGTGACACGGTTTTAAGGAATTTCAGAAACTGCTGCTGATCAAAGAGGAAATTAAAGGGGGAAAGAAAAGCAAAATCATCCCTATATATATATATGCAAATTTGGAAAATACCTAAATGTAAAGATATAGTGGGAAAATGGATCTCATTTACAGTTGTGGTACTGAATTAGTAAACATAAAATACTTATGAATTATCATAAGAAATATGAAGAAAACCATAACACTCATAAGAGAACATTTGTATGATTGCAGATACCTAGCATGTTTTGGGATAGGAAAATGGAATTTTATTGAAAAATCAATGCTTCCACAATTAATTGGTGGAGTAATTGATGGAGTATTTACAATGAAAAACCCCATCCACTGGGAGAACTTGACAAATAAATCCAAACTTATCTGGAAATTAATAACAGACAAGATAATTCAGAAAAGAAAAAAAAGGATCATGGAGTGAGGATAATGCTGGCTGGTATATGTGGTAGCTTATGGTAACAAAACCAAAACCAAACCCATTGCCATCAAGTTGATTCTGACTCACAGTGACCCTATATGACAGAGTAGAATGGCCCCTTTGGGTTTCCTAGGCTGTTTCTTTACTGGAGCAGATCATCAAGTCTTTTCTCCCATGCAGTGGCTATTGGGTTCAAAAAGCTGACCTTAACCATTGCACCAACAAGGCTCCTCACTAACTAAATATTTGGAAATAAATGCTTAATGGGAGAGGGACCTCACAATCTGCTCCCCAAAAAATTACATTCTAGAAAATCCTAGGGGGCAGTTCTCCTTTGTCACATGGGGTCACTATGAGTTGAAAATCAACTTGATCGAACCTACCAACAAAAGCAACAGTTTGCGGATGCGGAACCAACATGACCCTATAAACAGAAGCACCACACTGTCCCTCTGCAGCAAAGACCAGAAAAACTAATTAAAACAGATGCAGACATCAATCCTGGCACCCTAAGTACGAAATGAGGGAATAAAGAACTCGATCAAGCCCCAAATGGAATAAGGAACTGACAGAGAACAGAGAATGAGAAGAGCTACGGAATGGAGGTCTCATATCAGCTAAGGTGGCATGATTCGCCATCTTGGGCTAAAGCCATCAAAGGACTCAGACAGAGTATGAGAAGGCAACTTAACAGAGCTCCCAACAGGAGACAGAGCACCTGGTAACCAGGGATACATGATTTCCCACCCATCATTCTTCTTCCCTCTTCGCTGCCTCTGCTGCTTGCCAACAGGACACTCAGCAAAAGAGACAATAGCTCACTGCCACCAGGCTCCACCCCACCCCCACCAGCCAGCCCCTTTACTGCCATTTTTTTTGGAGGGGGGGTTTGTATTTTTGTTCATTTGTTTTTCGATATTGCTTTTTGGCCTTTTTTTTGGTTGCTTCTCTCTCTCTCGCTTCCTTCCTTTCCTTTCTTCCCATCCACCCAGCCCTGCACACTGTCCCCAACTTCTTGGTGGACTGTGCTGTACCACTCGGCTACAGAGCCTCTGGCACATGGCCTCCCTGGATCTGCACCACCCCCACAGACTGGCTCCCTCAGCACCATGTTTTTTATTTTTCTTTGACTTTCCCTTTCTCCTTTTCCTTCTCCTTTCCACCTAGGCCCTGCGCTTCCTCTACCTGGGCCGGGCCATGCCATGCCATGTCAACCCAGCAAGAGAGACATTAGTTCACTGCCACCTCAATTCCACCCCACCCTCAACTGCTGGCACCCCACCACCATATTTTTGTTTTGTTTTGTTTTTAGTTTTTGATTATTTTATATTTATTTATTTTATTTGATTGCTGATTTCTTCTCTGTCTTCCCTCTCTTTCTTTTCTTTCTCCCACCCACCTAAACCCATGCATGACCCACACTGCTTCTTGATGGGCCGAACCACACAGTTCAGCTAGAGAGCCACCAGCACATGTCCTTGTCGAGTCTGCCCCTCCTCCACCCACCAAATCCTACTGCACCGCCATTTTATTTACTTTTTTACTTTTCTTTTATGCCATTTTTCTTCTTTTTTTTTTTACTTATTTGCCTTTGTTTCTCTCTTCTTTCCCTTCTTTCACCCACCCAATTAGCTCTGCACATCACATCCTCTCCTTTTCCTCTTGCCTATCTGCACCATGCACCAAGTGCCATGCCACCAAGTGGTACCAATTCGGTCCCCCAGACCCCACCCTGCACTGTCCCTCAGCCCTGCCCCATCACCCTCAGTTCATTCTGCAAATACCCATCCCCACTCCTCCATCCCCACTGGACCCACCCTGCTGCACCACAGCTGAGTGATCGACCCTGCCCACATGGACAAGATGGTGAGAAGTATTGTGCCCACAGGCGAGCAAGCAACAAAACACACCCAGCCTACCTGCCCAGACATAACCAAATAAAACAAAAAGCAAGATGAAACAATCAATAAATGAATAAAATAACTCCTGAATGTCCCAGAGACAGCAGCCAATATCAAAACTTATGAAAAAACAGGATAGGATGGCTCCAGAAAGTGACCAAAATAGAACACCAGATGACATTCTGCTAGAAGAAAAAGCACTGGAACTACCTGATAGGGAATTCAGAATTCTAATATTCAGGGTTCTCCAACAGATGAAGGAAAATGCAGGCAAAAATAAGGAAAAAATAGACAAAAATGGGAAAATACAGACAAAATATTAGAAAAGACAGACAAAACAATGGAAGAAATCAGGAAAATAATACAGGAACAAAATTGTGAAGTAAACACCTAGAAATCATATGAGAACATCAATTTGTAATGCAAAAGATAAACAGCAAAATTTCAGAAATGGACAGTGCCATAGAAGGTTTTAGGAGCAAAATTGAAAAATGGAAGACAGGATCAGTGAAAAAGAAGACAAATCCTTGTATACCACATTGTTTGAGGAAAAATCAGAGAAAAGAACGATGAAAAATGAAGAAACCCTGAGAAAAATATAGGATACAATCAAAAGCAAAAATTTGCGTGTGATCAGAGTTCCACAACAGGGGGAGAAAATGAGAAACACAGAGAGGATCATTGAAGGTTTGCTGACAGAAAACTTCCCTAATATCATGAAAAACAAAAAACCAACTATCCAAGAAGCTCAAAGAACCCATATAAGATGGACCTCAAAATAAAAACACCAAGACACGTCCTAATCACACTCGCTAAAACCAAAGACAAAGAGAATCCTGAGAGCAGCTCAAGAGAAATCAAAAGTCACATACAAAGGGGAAACAATAAGACTAAGCTCTGATTACTCATCAGAAACCATGCAGGCTAGAAGGCAATGGGATAACATATATAAAATCTTGAAACAAAAAACTGCCAACCAAGAATAATATATTCTGTAAAACTCTTGCTCAAATATGATGGCTAAATTAGGACATTTCCAGATACACACAAATTAAGGGAATACATAAAAACCAAAACAAACTTACAAGAATTATTATAGAGAGTCCTTTGTTTAGAGAACCAACAATGCCAGATAACAACCTGAATCTAGCACATAAGACAGCATCAGCCAGAAACCAGATAATGAACTCTGAATGATAAAACAAAACAAAAAATTTACAACAGAGAACCAGAGATATCAATCTGTAAATGACAACAATGTCAGAACAATAGAAGAGGGAATAAATAGTGCAGGCACAGAACTTTCAAATGGAGAGGAAGTCAAGGCATTATCAAGTAATGAAAGACTGGTTTAAGCTTAGGAAGATAGGGATGAATTTCAAGGTAACCTCAAAGAAAGTCGACAAACCTACTCATCAAATTAAGAGGAAAAACATAAAGTCTCAGTAAACACAAAATCTACAAAAACGAAAGAAACAAAAAAAGTACAAAGGTATTCAGCACAGAAGAGTAAGAGGAAAAAAGAAAACATCAGCACCACACACACACAAAAAAAAAAAAAAACACTACAAAATCACAGCAATAAACTCACACCTACAATAACCACACTGAACATAAATGGCGGAAATGCATTCATAAAGAGACAGTGACAGCATGGATGAAAAGAACAGGACCCATCTATATGCTGTCTACAAGTGACACACTTTAGAAACAAAGACATATATTTATTAAAAATCAAAGGATGGAAAAAATATATCAAGCAAACATCTACCAAAAAAGAGTAGGAGAGGCAATACTAATCAAAGGTACAATAGACTTTAAAACAAAATCTCCCATAAAAGACAAAGAAGGCATTATATAATGCTTAAAGGGACAATCCACCATGAAGACATAACCATAATAAATATCTACACACCCAATCACAGGGCTCCAAAATACATAAAACAAACTCTAACAGCACTGAAAAGAGAAATTGATAGTTCCACAATAATGTTAGGAGACTTCAACACACCACTCTCGGTGGTGGACAGAACATCTAGAAAGAAACCCAACAAAGATACAGAAGATCTAAAGGCCACAATCAATGAACCTAACCTTATAGATGTGTATATAACTCTCCACCCAACAGCAGCAAAGTACACATTCTTTTCCAGCTCACATGGAACATCCTCCAGAATAGGTCACATCTTAGGCTGCAAAGCAACCCTCAACAAAATCCAAAACATTGAGATAATACAAAGTATCTTCTCTGATCCCAACACCACCAAAGTAGAAATTAACAAGGGGAAAAGCAATTTAAAAAAAAAATCAATTGGAAACTGAATAACACCCTGCTTAAAAACCACTGGGTAATAGAAGAAATCAAAGATAGAATCAAAAAATTCCGAGGATCAAAACCTTTGGGACACAGCAAAGGCAGTGCTCAGAGGTCACTTTATAGCAATACATGCACACATCACAAAAGAAGAAAGGGATAAAATCAAAACATTAGCTACACAACTCAAACAAATAGAAAGAGCACAGCAAAATAAGTCCACAGCCACCAGAAGAAAGGAAATAATGGAGATCAGAGCAGAAATAAATGAAATAGAGAATAGAAAAACAATAGAAATAATTAAAAAAACCAAAAAGTTGGTTCTTCGAAAGCAACAACAAAATCAACA